GGGCGCTTCACCACTCCCATGGCATCATTAATATGCAAATATATGTCAGTAAACCTTGGTGTATTATATCAGATAAAATAAATGTCATTTTGATGACAACCTTTCACACCTCTTCTCATATTCATGGTTTGTGTGTGTGTTTTGGCGCTACTCAGAAACATCCCCGTGGTATTTTCTGACCCCACAAACCCGCCTCCCCCCCTTCAGCGGTATCTCACACAAAGTTGCTGATACACTCGTGGCGCCCACCCTCCCGCCCCCCATTCGCTGGGGTGGCGAAAGTTACAGCTGGAGATGGAGAAATACACCCCAGACAGAGTTCATAATGTCAGGAATATCAACAAGGGGCTGATAAGTGATGAAAGGACGAGGAAGATTGAATTCGGCGATACACTTCTTTGACGAGGATCGTGGGAAAGAAATGACACTGCCTGGATGTAAGTTTTGAAGTCGACTGAGAGGGGTTTTCGATTAATTGACTCCAAATTCATGATGCATACTAACGAGGGTGGAACCACTAAGCAATTCATAACAAGGATCTGGACCCCAATTTCAAGAGTCGCACCCAAAATTCTTCCTGCCGGACAGCTTCTGGGGCAACACCGAAAGTTTAACTCATGTAATTTATGGTCATCTTCCCAGCCATGTAGAAATGTTCCCCCGAAACAGAAAGATTTAGTGATAAATTATTTAATTTTGTGCACTGTTAAGAGTCCAAGTGTGTACTTGTTGATTCACCCCAGGCACGCGAGCTATGTTTCTGGACTGATGATTCCCCTTCTCGGTGTGTGCCACGATGGCAAAAGGAAATCGATCGGAGTCTCAGGTGTCTTACAGGAATTCTACAGCCGAAGAGACCCATGGAATTTAATTGCGGTGGGATTTATTTGTGTGGCATTGTTGGGGATTTCTTTATCGCAAAACTCAACTGTAATGGGAAATGATTGAGGAAGTGGCGTATAGGTGGATGAAATTGCTTTTCACGTATGCTTTTGAGGGGTGGATGAAATATGAAATCAAAGATGAATACAGCGAGATATTGAAGGACCCCTAATATTACACAATAAAATCCTCTATTGTTATGCGACACTCGAGTGAGTATGAATTTCACATTTTCAGCGACAAATCCTTCAACATGCGGCAAGACAGAGAGTAAAGCACGTCTGGAAGGCTATAGAGAGAGTGTGTATGTTAAATTTGGCAAGAGCGAGAGCTTTCCGCGTTGGGTATTATTGCACAGGGGGATAGCGTACTCCTTATCAGGTGAGTGGGTCGTTTGTGAAACATTCCATCATGCTATGAACTTTCTTCCACGTGATGTTAAAAGTACAAATAGTGTCGCATTTGATGGGTGGAGGAGGGAATGGCGCGTGGATATGTGGTGGCTGAGATAAGGGATTTCCTCCGCAATTTCCAAAAGACGCAGCCCCACTCTTGAGCTCTTAGCCTCCCTCGTCTTGTGGTGAATGTGTGCAAGTCATACAAGTGAGTCTCTCTCTATACAATTTGCTGAATAATATAAGGTGCCACACACTGGCAAGGAGATGCGGAATCGTTCGGCAACACGAGGACCAAAGAAGAAGAAGGCATACATTTTATGACACCACAAGCCCCACCCCGCATTCCATTGTGAGGCGCTGTGGCCCTGCAAGGAGTGTGATCCCATTTTGCACAGTCATTAACATTAATTACAGCATTATCGCTCGTGTCAAGTTCAACGTCACCCAGTCTATAATCCCAGATGTGCGCCTGGGAAGGCCTCCATGTGTATGTTGGCGCGCGATCTCGCGTCGCGGGCGCAATTAAATAGACACACGAGGCCTCAGAAAGCTGTCGATTCAACGGATGGCACCTCTCCAGCCGATTGCGGCATTTATTTCTGGGTGAAATAATGCCGATGCCGCCCCCCGACAGCCATATGAAACATGAATTAAGGGGGTGGATCATTTCGGCGGGAATTTTGAGGAGTGTTTATGGAGAAGCACAGAGACATAAATGAAAGTGAGAGCTTTCGCTTGGCCTCACACAGGGGGTGAAATTAGGGCAAAACAAGGCGTATGAAATGTAAGGGAAAATTTCCCATCAACATCTCTCGTCAGGGCTTTTGTTGTTGAGAAAACACACACTTTCCGAATCATACAATGAATGTATCATGTGTCGAAAATATTACTGCAACAAGGATATAAGGCGTAAAAATTTTTATTGCAGGACTTTGAATGGAAATTCATACACATAAAATTTATTGTTTGGTAATAAAAATAAAATCTACTGTTGGACTGATTGAAATTCTAAGCAGAAAGAATCCCTCAAATTGAGAATTATCCCTCTGAAGTTTTCGGCCAGTCGGAGTGCTTTTCATCCATAATTTGTTTGCAAATTATAATTTTACGGCCTAATTTCCTTAAATGTTTCCATACTTTCTGAGGAAATTTTAGTGAAATTTTCCCATCATCCCCCGTCAGAAGTATCCCCATAACTTGAAGTGTCATGATGAGAAGGTGTGAGTTTATGGAAGCCCACATATCTGAAATTCGAATGAAGTTCATCAACCACATCGTCTATATTCAAATCCCGCGACAAATTTCCTACGTGACACTGGCTTGAATCATTAATTAAAATGAGGGTGAGATATTTTTGAGGGGGCCCCTCAGAGATGGGCGGAGGGAGGGACATAAGAATTTGTGTTGAATGTATAAAATATCCCGCATTACATGGGCCAAAGTTCATTATTCCTAAATCGGTATCGCATTATCTAATGGTGTTTCATTTCCTCCACGGGGAGTCACTTTCAAAGAGTTTCTTTTCCAATTTCTCGCCGCTTCGTGCTCAGCGTGTTGGGAAAAAGAGGTCACAAGACAGCCAGTGAGATATTTGAGCTGGTGAATTAATGCAAATGGGCAACAAGAGCTTTTGTCTCTGCTTCGATGGCATGGAAAGGTCAGGGTGGGAAGAGCGACTAAATCGTGGGATTAAAGTTGAAAGTTCGACGCAATTATTTTCATCCAATGAATAGAATTGCTAATTAAATTTCCCGATTTCCTGCTTGCAATTCGCATAATTCCTTCTATTGTCTGGCCAACGTTCTGGGTGAGAAAAGTTCACCAATTGAGCTTATGAGCTTTCCTTTCTGACCGCCGGCAACGCGAGAGTGTCAATTGGGAATGCATAGCAAGTGGATGAAGGTGGATGGAGGGGGGATAAAAGGGACGAAAAGCTCGACACTTGCTAGTCCCAGGGCAAAGAAATAGATTTGCACTTGCGCACTGTCGCAAGAGATACACACTCACACAGTGGAGGCGCCGGGCCTCGAGCCTCCCTGACCATCTTCACGGCCTTCGTGTGAGATTGAAATGAAATATCAAAGCGAAACAGCACAAATTCATCATTTGCTCATTATCTCCCATTGCGGTCGATGAGCTCTTTCTGTGGGGGTGGTTTGGAAAGGCTTGAGTCGGCTGATTTTTATCATTTTCCCAACCATATCATAACCCAGTGCTTTCGCCCGAAATTGTGACCACTTCTGGGGGTGAGATGAAAAATTGATATTTCTCGAGTATCAGTTTTCTTTTGATTTCCAACAGGCGACCAACTCCTGAAATTGTGCGATTGAGGAATTACTTCTGTGCTGCTGAGCGTAAAAGGAAATGAATTCAGACAATTCTTCTTCGAATTTATCCACCTCTTGGGTGATTTCATTGTCCAATATTGACAGTGTCTTGTGGGTTCGGTTCTTTATTTTCCTCTTCTCTTCGTCCCATTTCACCCATCTTCTCGTGCTGCTGCTGCCTTGATATGGCCAGAAACATGCGAAAAAAGCAAAGGAGAGAACATTGTGAGTTCACAAGAAAGTATAGAATTCTCAGGGACCTTCGACAGCAATTCCCCGCAAAGGGCGACACATTTGCCCAAATACTTCACATACAATAAATCTCGTGGGTGGGTCATCAGCAAATTGATAAAAGGCACACCCTCTTTGTCTCCTTCGACATCGAATACCAACCCTCCACCAGCAGCGTGTGCTCCACTGGCGGCGCTCGAGGGATGCACTGACTAGAGAGCTTTGTTTGCACTTTTGCAATCACCGATTCTCAGCATAAATTGAGCATGTGGGGGTGGTTCAATGGGGTTGCATGACACAGACATATTTTCATCAGCTCTGATGCTTCTCACTTTTCGGGAGATTCCGTGATAAAGGGCGGATGGAGGGAGAGAGAGAGTGTGAAGACAGTGCAGTGAGAGCTCTTTCTGATTTGATTAGGCACTAGATAATGTGAGTTAAATTGAGTTCATCGCCTCAGCACAAACTTCCACTCCGCCATGGGTGGGTTTGGAATGTGTTTGCCAATCCATTTACTTGAGATATTTCCAACTGTGAGATGCTTCTGTTAACCCCGCACGTCACTTCTCGCCCCGTCCAAGGCGACAAGAATGCAATTTAAGTAATCTTGCTTGTCTATTGAGACGGAAATGTTGGCGAAAACACCAGCTTTTATCTCTCACGAGAGGGTGAATGAGGAAAAATATTTCACCTGCTTTTTTTCCCCAACAGAGATACAAAATAGGAAAAACTCTCAGTCATATTATAATTCTGGTGTTAGAATTCATTGTGTAGTTTTAATAGTTATTTCACCATATGCGGAAGTTTGATGAAATTCTAATTAGTTTCTTCTGTGAATGTGAATTTGCAGAAATTTGCTCACAAAATTCCATACAGTGAAATATGGAACTTCACTGATTTAGAGTGTTGTAATTTTTATGTCAATAGATTTTGTCAGCATATTTAATTAATTTCCTCACTTTTCACCACTTGAAATTAGACTCTTTGAATGAATTCTGTGCAAACATTCTTGAGCTTGTGTATGAATAGGTTTTGCACAGCACCAGAGAAGTGATGAATAGCAATTCTCGCATTGAGAAAGAGGGAGAAGTTTCATGGTTGGGTAATGCTATCGCAGGCGGATGTGCAAACATATCTAAATGTCAACGCATCCGGCGGACATTCAGAGAACATCTGCATTTGTTGTGTAAGTGGAGGAGACATTAGGGCCACACACTGTTGAATGGTGAGACATATCACCCCGGGAGGAGCGCACGTGGTGGAAGTCAGGTGCGAGACTGTCTTGTGCCAGGTTCTCTCCGCCCTTAAATCGATGCAGCAGCGTAGGAATATTGTCACCCTGTGGCCTCCGATAGCTTGGCCAATTGTTGGTCACTTTGCTGACTACTGGCTTAAATCCTGATGGTGGCAAAGCGCAACAGTGCGAGATTATATCTGTTGCTGTGCATATTTCACATAAATTGACCAATAAATTTAAATATGCAGGCGCAACAAACAAGGTGCGTAAAATCCACACACACACACTACATTTCACCAATTACAGAATTTATTGACCGGAAACTTAAACACACCGCTGTGTTCTCTTCAGCACCCTATTAATATCCCAAACCAAATAGTGTGAAAATGCTTTTCCAAATCTGCCCCAACTGCGGCCCCGGACTTTTCAATTTTGCATTCTATTGATTTTTGATGTGGCGAAATGCTGAAACTTTTCACGATTCACTGGGCTTTTGAGCTGCCAGAGAGAGAGAGAGAGGGAGAAGTAATTTTCCAACTTTGGGACGTCCCATCGTGATGCATTTGTGGTGTGGAACGGCGAGACCGAAAGCTTGATGGTTGTCAAGAGCAAACAGCTGCCGAATTGCCACTGATGCGGTTTGATTAGCACCATGCAAATGATTTGACTGTGGAAAAGTCCTTTCTGATTTAATTGAAATATCACACGAATTTTACTATACAGAAAAAAGGTGAGTTTTAATTACAAATTCAGTACTTTGTGTTAATATTTGACGAGATAACTTTTTTTTCCTCTACGATTGCAAGTTCATTAATTTGACAGAGTTTTCCCATTTAAATTATACTGTATATTATTGTTCTTGCTATCGGGAACTGAGAATCACATTAAATCCTTTCAATTTGAGTTTCCTCCGCCAAGTGAAGAGCTTAACTTCCACCCAATAACATTTCCTGGAATTAAAGTCACTCTCACACGGCTGTTGGTCATGGAAAATCCGTTCTTTTTTTTACGACATCCATTAAAAGTTGTGTCGTCGATGGGTGGAAAAACGTCATTCGCGATATTGTGAGGGATTCAACCCCGCCCAATTAATTCACAGACAATATAGTTTCGAAACGGAATTAATTGTATTTGCTGGAGTAAATTGCGAAAACTCGCTCTTCTGCACTGACCGCGCTGAGATGAAATTTGTATGAATTTTCATTCACTTCTCATGCGTGCCCCGTTTTTTCTTCCTCCCCTTTGGCCACAGAAAAGCCAAAGAGTAAATAAACTTACACGCTTCCGGAGGGTTTGGCGAAAGCTTCAGCATTGTTGTTATTTTTATTTTCTCTGCAAGAGAGAGGCAAAGTCTCTTGTCGGTGAGGCTTTTGTGTACAAATCTCATTTGGCGTTGGAGAAGAAGTCAAGAGAGTGAGAGAGAGAGACATCGGAAGAATGGCATTATGTGATCCTGTCACGAATGGGAATTTTTCAGGGCTCAATGTGTGCTTTCAGCACTGAAACTTTCACGCGTTGTTCATTCTCACGCGTCGATCGGGTGAATTGTAATTCAAAAATTTGTTATTGAATCCCTAATACAACATTCCAAATTGACATCCCCACACCAATTCCGCACACCTTCTGATGATGTTTTGCTGGTAAAAGGGAGAAAGGGGTGAAATTTCAGCGTGAATTGGTGTGAAAGTTCCAAGTGCTTTCACACCACAGGCACGTTCGAGTGCGACTAAGACGAGTGCTGGCGGTGGCAGAAAAGGCCCCCCAAAAGAGATCGATACGCCATTGCGTGATTTCATTTGCATTTTCATGTGCAGCTCCAAGCAATCACTCCACCACTATTTCCAACCCCGCGCCCCATGGATACACATTTTATTTATGATGTGAACCTCGGGATGTGTTCTCTCGTTCTTTTTTCTTCCTCCACTGGCTTTTGCTGCTTCTTTGCCTGAACATGCGGATTCATTAGTTTCAGCCGGAAAACCTCCCTTGTCATTATTTTATTTTCATACGAAATGTGTGCTGTGATTTTCAGTGGAAAAACATCACCATAATGAGGATGGAATTTATTTGGAATGTATTTATTTTGGGAAAAGCTCCGCGAGAAGCAGTTTTTGCTGTATTGTGTTATTCTTCACATGTTCAGGCGCAATGCAACGTGAAGAGCTTAATTTTATAGAATTAAATTCTAATTAACAATGAAGAGGAGTTTACCCTCACCTGTAATTCAGTATTCGGTGAGTTGGGATCAAATTTTTGAGTCCCTGACGGCGATGCTCTTCTTCTTCAATTCAAATAGATTTCACTTATTATTATTTTAATTCAATTTAGTTAAAGGGAGAGATTTGGGAGTTTATTTCAATGTATTTTTATGGATTTTCACTGATGAGACACTGGAGATGTTCACAGTTTTGTAGTCCACGAAAAAGTAACCAAAAGGAGCGGAAGAGGCGCTGTCCTTCTTTAGAAGAATGGTGAAATATGTACATGTGGTGAGAGATGGTGAGAATTGAATCTCAACCGACACGATTGGCGGATTCATGCTCCCCCCTTTCGAGGCCCGCAGGATCCTCCGTGATTTGGAAGAGCTGATCGTCTTCGGTTGAAGGCAGGCGACAGACCTTGGCGATCGATCTCTTGTAGCAGCCCTTGGATGTGCGAACCGTCACCACTCGAACCTTTGAATCCTTGCCCGGATGAATCTTGTCGATGACACCGAGAGGCCAGTGATGCGTGGGCGAGTTATCTTCGTGCAGAATCACTAGATCTCCAATTTTCAAGTTGGGCTGAGGCGAAAACCACTTTGTCCTTCGCTGAAGTTCAGTGAGATACTCAAGTCTCCATCGACGAGAGAATTCCTGTGCCATCTGTTGATGTTGTTGCCAGCGATCGAGATGATTGAGCGGTATTTCCTGAAGACTGGGATCAGGGATTTGATTGACCGGTTTTCCCATGAGGAAATGTCCAGGTGTGAGGCACATGAGCTCCGATGGATCGTCCGTGAGCGGTGTGAGTGGTCGGCTGTTGAGAATACTCTCCACTTGCGTGAGCACTGTGTAGAAACCCTCGAATGTGAGCCGTTTATCACCGATGGTACGCAGCAAATGATGCTTCAGAGACTTCACCGCGGACTCCCAAAGGCCACCATGATGGGGAGAACGAGGTGGCTGGAAGTGCCAGGTGATATTCATCGAAGTTGCAGCTGCGGAGAGTTGATCTTGTGCGGATTGAGACTTGAGGAGTGTTTGCAACTCCTTGTCGGCTGCAGTGAAATTAGTGGCATTGTCACTAAAGATGTGGAGAGGAGCGGAGCGACGTGCTGCAAATCTGCGCAAAGCTGCAATGAATGCATCACAACTAAGATTGCTGACCAGCTCGATGTGAACTGCCTTTATGGCCAGGCAAATGAAGATGCACACGTAAGCCTTCTGAGGACTTCCACCACGCTTCAGATCTGGCCTGATCCAGAAAGGGCCGCAGAAATCAACTCCTGTGTTGTGAAATGGAGCCGTGGCGATGACTCGTTCTTGAGGTAAATCGCCCATGAATTGGTGCTGAAGCTGAGGCTTGCAGCGAAAGCATCGAACACAATTGTGAACAACTTGACGTGTCAAATTGCGTGATCCGAGGGGCCAAACTCGCTGACGAAGAGTGGCAAGAAGAAGTTGAGGACCTGGATGCATTTGCTTTCGATGTTCATGTGTGGCGATCAATCGGGCGAGCTCACCCTTTGGCAGCAGAATTGGGTGACGCGTGTCGTAGAGCTCGATTGACTGGGAAATTCGACCACCTACACGAATGATACCGTCCTGGTCGATGAATGGAGACAGAGATTTGATTTTCTTCATTGCGCGATTAGACTGAAGAGTGTTGTTCCTGATGGAGGTGAACACTTCTGATAGCTTGTTCAGCTGATCCCATTTGAGCAGAACCAACTCTGCCAGACGAATTTCTTCCACAGAGATTGGGCCGTTGCGATGGTTTGTGGTGAACTTAAAGAACCTCAAGGTGATGGCAAGAACTTCAGTCACTTCTTGATAATCTGACGATTTTGCGATGAGTTTCGAGATGAAATCCACTGGTGTGGGCTCACTTGGACTCTCTGTGATCAGAGATGCGATCAGGATTGAGTCGTCTGCTGGCAAGTGAACGCGAGGCCAGTGAGAGCGAGATTGAAGGAGAAATGGTGCTCCGTGCCACCACATAGTTGAGTTGCGGAGATCTTCAGTGGATGTTCCTCTTGAAATGATGTCAGCGGGGTTGAGCGTCCCAGGAACATGATTCCAGTCCTCTCGTTGGGAAACGGTGTGTATTTTTCCGAGCCGATGGGCTACAAATACATCGAATTTCTTGTCCAGCGACTGAATCTGGTGGTACACAACCATGGAATCGGTCCAAAAGAAACACGCCTTGATCTGGAGAGCTTCGCGGAATTTATTCATCATCTGGGCAGCCAATTCTGCGCTCATGAGTTCCAGCCGAGGAATGGTTTGCGTGGTTTTTGGTGCGACTTTTGACTTGGCGAAGATGAGGTGAGACGATCGACCGTGCTGATCTTCAGTCACATAGTACAAGGCAGCGCCATATGCTGATGTACTTGCATCACAAAAAACGTGCAATTCCTCTGACGTGGGTGAGAGAATTGAGGAGGCCCAGCGAGGGATTGTAATGCAGGAAACTTGAGTAAGATCATCGTAAAATGCATCCCAAGTGGAGAGAACTTCTGGTGGAAGTTTGTCATCCCATTTGACTTTCAGATCCCAGAGAGATTGGAGAAAAATCTTCCCACGAATGATGACTGGACCCAAGAAGCCGTGAGGATCATAAAGACGCGCAATTTTGGAGAAGATTTCACGCATAGTGTCGCCTCGGAGCTCTTCAGAGATGAAATTAAAATGAAATATGTCTTTCTGTGGATTGTATTTCATTCCCAAAGTCCCGACGGAACTTTCTGGCACATCAAGTGAGGTCGTCGTGGCATCATCGGAGACTTGAAGAAGTTCCTTGCGATTCGAACACCACTTGGTCAGAACAAGACCTGCTGCTTGAGTGATGGAAATCAATTGTTGCTGCGTTTCGAGAGCGTCTTCGATGGTGGGGCAGGAGAGCAGGCAATCATCCACGTAGAAATTGTTGAGCAGCACGTGAGAGGCCTTTGGATATGATTGCTGTTCATCCACGGCGAGTTGATTCAATGAGCGGGTGGCGAGAAAAGGTGACGATGCGACACCAAAGCAAACTCCAGTGAGTCGATATTCCTGAAGCGGCTCTGTCTTGGAATTCCTCCAGAAGATCCTCTGCAAATCCCTGTACTCTGGCTGGAGCAGAAATTGCGGATACATTTGACGAATGTCCGCACTGAGAGCAATGGGATGCCTTCGAAACATCAACAACGTTTCAAACACATCTGGTTGGACTGTGGGGCCAATTTTCAAGACATCATTGAGGCTGAGACCGGTGGAAGAGCGAGAGCTCGCATTGTACACCACTCGCACCTTTGTGGTGGTTGAAGAGGCCTTGATCACGGGATGATGTGGCAAGTAGTAGACGTTTTCGGAAGTACCAGTGGAGGGAATTGGCTCGAGGAAGCCCTGATCAAGATATTGCTGAATAGACGCGGAATATTCGACCTTGAGCTGAGGATCCTTGTCAAGGCGCTTCTCCAAGCGGAAGAATTGACGCTTTGCATTCTCCTTGTTGTCCGCCAAGTTCTCCACAGTGGATCGCAGAGGAAGATGAACGACATATCGCCCTGTTGAATCTCTAACTGTTGTCTCAGAGTAGAGCTTCTCCACTTCCTTGTGTTCCTCAGTGGGAGGATGCTTGGAAGGAAACTCCTCTACTTCACAGAGTTTCTTCAGGGAGGCATCGATGCTGGAGAGCGTGGTGAGACAACAATAAACCTCAGGAGGCGCTTGAGGCTCCGTATGATGAGCTCCCACAATGATCCACCCGAAATCTGTGTTCTTCAATTGAGGAAGACCAGTTCCGAGCTTGATTGACTGATCCTTGACGATGTCGAAATAGAGAGATGCACCAATGAGAATGTCTATGGAGCCAGTGACATTCCAAGAAGGGTCAGCCAGAGCGAGATTTGGTGGAATTGGAATGGCAGTTGTGTCCACTTTCCAATTTGGGAGATTCCCAGTGATTTTGGGAACGATGAGGCAGTCGAATTCGAAGTGGGCATTATTGACGCGAGAGCGAACAACACTTCCAGTCTGGAATTTAGCAGTTCTTTGAGCATTTGTGACTCCAGTGATGACCACGTCAGATGGAGACTTCTTGAGCTTCAATTTCTGGCAAAGATCTTGAGTCATCAAGTTCATCTGAGCGCCAGAATCGAGAATTGCCCTGCAGAGATGGGCGTTGTTGTCCTTATCAAGGATCTGCACAATCGCTGTGGCCAGAAACACCTTAGTAGTTGCCTGAGAAGACAAGACAGTCGACGAAATTGCCACAGTTTGAGGATTAGCCTTGTCAGAGTCGTCGGATTGAGCTGTTGTGGATGGCTTTGGCGTGTCAGCTATTGGAGACTGACTCTGAGTGTGAGTTGAAGTTGAAGGAAATGCATCGTGTAGCAACGTTGAATGCTTTGTTGAGCACCTCTTACAATGGGAAGACTGGCAATCCTTGGTGACGTGGTTTTTTCCCAGACAATTTCGGCAAAGATTGTGGGATTTCACGAATCCAAGCCTCTCTGCGGGATTGTACGAGGCAAACTTTGGGCACTTGAACAGCCTGTGAGGGTTTTCCTTGCAACAATCACACAGATTCGACGCATCGGTGGTCACGAGTGCGGTAGTGGACGGCTTGGCGCGAGGAGTGGCCTTTTGGGGAGCCTGGACTTTTGACAATGAAGACTTCTCAACGGGTGGAGTGTAGATAGCGAGGGTCTTTGCACGCTCGTCAAGAAATTCATCAAATGTAGCCCAAGTTGGAATCTTGTTCTTGATCTTTTGTGCCCAAAGTATCATGGAATCGTTGTCCAAATGCCTGGAAGCCCAATGAACAAGCCAAATGTCACGTCCGTTTGCGTTCAGCGCGTCGAGGGAGTGCAGAATGGAATTGCATGTGGTGCGGAATTGACGAATGGATGTCTGAGAGGAAGTTTTGATGTTTGGCTGCGCGAGGAATCTCTGAATGTTGTCATTAATCAACGCACACTGATCATCATATTTCTCTGAGAGCAGTGCCCATGCCGCCTTGTAATTCGCGTCGCAAATCCTCATATGCTGTACTGTCTCCTTGGCTTCTCCAGCCAGGAAAGAGACAAGATACTGCATCTTGTGAGCATCGGATAACTTGCTGGAGTTCCCGATCGAGGTCAAGAAAATGTCTTTGAATGTGGGCCACTCATGATAAGCGCCTGAGAAGATGGGAATCTTGATGGGCTCAAGCTTCACATGACCAGAAATAGAGTTCTCGGTGGACTTGTCTGAGGACAAATTTGACAAAACCTGAGTGAACTTCTCGAGGAAACTCTCAAGTTGACTGCCTGAGGAGTTGGCATTCGAGGCGTTATCGGAGGTAGTGTTATTTTTCTCAGTCGTGTCCTTCACGATCAAAACCCTGAGCGAAGTGTCCACCATGTCGATTGTGGAATACAATTCATTGAGGAACTTCTCTGCTTGGATGGGATCTTCCTCGTTGCTGGATATGATGGCCTCATGAGTGGTGAGAAGCTTGTCCCTGATCTCATTCAAATACTCTAATTTGCCGCGTATCTCCCTCTGAACTTCTGGAGTTTCAATACGCGACTCATCCAGATCTCGAATGAAGGTCTCAATTCGCGTCACAGAGCCTTTGAGCGCTCCCCTCTTTCCTTTTAGCGACATCTTGGAGGCAGCAAAGGCGACTCGCGAAGATGAGTGAAAAGAGACTTACCAAGAATACGGTTATGTCTTAGTAAACACGTGGAGACAAAAGACCTCGTGGCAAATGTGAGGTTGTGATCTTCCGGACGCACGATGATGTAACAAAGTGGCGGTTCCGGAGAGTTCCTGGACAGCTCTGTGGCCAGTAGATGTCGGTTGGCGACTAGGAGAGTTGGCAAATCCCGTAGAAACACGTTGGGTGCCTCTTTGAAGAAGTTGCCGAAAGAGATAAATGCGGCGAAGCTGTGGCTCGGCGCAAGACGAAGGCGATGAATCCTCCGATAGTTGAGTAGATAGCTCGGTTCCGTCGTCCTCCAGACGACGCGGATGAAGGACCAAATTATGAAGAGGAGTTTACCCTCACCTGTAATTCAGTATTCGGTGAGTTGGGATCAAATTATGAAGAGGAGTTTACCCTCACCTGTAATTCAGTATTCGGTGAGTTGGGATCAAATTTTTGAGTCCCTGACGGCGATGCTCTTCTTCTTCAATTCAAATAGATTTCACTTATTATTATTTTAATTCAATTTAGTTAAAGGGAGAGATTTGGGAGTTTATTTCAATGTATTTTTATGGATTTTCACTGATGAGACACTGGAGATGTTCACAGTTTTGTAGTCCACGAAAAAGTAACCAAAAGGAGCGGAAGAGGCGCTGTCCTTCTTTAGAAGAATGGTGAAATATGTACATGTGGTGAGAGATGGTGAGAATTGAATCTCAACCGACACGATTGGCGGATTCAAACAATAATATTTTACAACAATTCTGTTGATGAAAATATCAAAAAAGTTCTCTAAAATAT